TTTTTTTTTTTTTTTTTTTGACTTAATATTATTATCAATATTATTTTACTCAACTTTCTTTTAACTTAATTTTTGTTTTTTTTTTCTAAATAAGCATAGCTATTTGGAAAAGTGTGACAAATGGTGATAAATCGAAAAATGTGCATGCATCATACATTTAACATTGTGATTTTGCACGTTTAATTCCTCGAACATATGCATTTTTCAATTATTTTGATATTATTAGCGATATTCGTGCTTTGATGAGATTCAATGTTTTTCAGCGTTTTTGGAACTAACTCTAGAGTGCGATGATGTGTGGATGCACAAACAAAGATGAAGAAGCCTAAATATGGAGTAAAATGTGTCAAACTCCAATGTGTTATACAAAATAGGCGCGTTACTACTCAGCGTTTTAAAAATTGCATGATACTCCCTTGTATTTGAATAACCGATGCACACCCTCCCTTTTTTATTTGTCCAGTTAACGGTATTAATTTTTTGCTGAAAACCAGTTATACCCTTCAAATTTTTTATATATATTGATGATAAATTGAATTTATCACGATATTTTGAAAATATCACGATAAATTGGCTAAAAAAGTTTTGCAGGCAATGGGGTTCAACTTGTGTGTTAGAATTAAGAACCTTATTGCACCAAAAAAAAAAAAAAGAATTAAGAACCTTAAATATATAAACGTTATATTACAAATTAAATATAAAAGATAATGTTAATATATTAAAATGCAGTAATAGCTTACAATAAATTAAATTATAATATAATAAATTATATAAAGTAAACAAAAATTAAATAATTAAAATAACTTATATGTGTTTATACAAAAATTATAGTTAAAAAATAACAATATTTATTATGTTAATTTATTTTTTTTCATCTTATTATATCTTAGTTATCAAATTTATTTATTTGTTTAACTTAATACAATGATATTAAATTAAAATATATTCTACTAAATAAAATTGTGAAATTTACTAAGATATCAAATTTATTTATTTGTTTAACTTAATACAATAATACAAAGATATCAAATTTATTATGTTAATTCAATATTTTTATTTAATTTAATTTACTATTTTATAATTAGTCATTTTATATTACATTAACATTTTTAAATTTTATTATTTTATATTATATTGTTTTTTTTTTGTTTTTTTAACTCGTTTACTTTAATTTTATTCATTTTTAGTTTAATATTATTATTATTATACATTTACAATTTTATTTTAATAAATAAAATTATAAATTTATTTAATTTTATTCTTGCTACTATAATTAATTTTATCTTACTTTGTTATAATTTATTTTTCATTATTTTTATATTAATTAAATTTATTTCAAGTTATTATTACATTATTATTATTATGATTATTTAATATATATTAAATGTACCTACTGTATTAATTTCATTTTCTTTATTTTTTAAATTTATTATTATTATTATTATTATTATCCATTTGTTAGTGAGGGGTTCGATTCCTCCCTTGGCAAAAAAATTTAATTTGTTCAATAAAGCACATGAAGGTATAAAGGTAATTTATTAATTATGAAAATAAAAAAAAAAAATTGTACAATTTACGCAGGTATGGAAGGTGTTGTGCACGCACCGTTAAGTTGGACAGAATGAGAGACTCGTGCAATAACTACTTAAATACAAAAGAGTGTCATGCATTTTTTAAAACACAAAGTAATAACACACCTATTTCGTGTATAATACGGGGGAGTTGGGGAGTTTGACGTAATTTATCCCAAAATATGGGGTGCCCACTATTGGCCCACAAGGAACGCAAATAATAGGTCCAAAATCAAACAATCCTAATAATAAGGCCCATGGAAATAATAAATTGGTCCACTTGCGCTTGTTTGTTTAAAGATCCAACCAAATAGACGTTTGGTACATAGCCTTTGAAATCATTTTTTTTTTTTTTTGTTTGGCAAAAACGCTGCCTTTTGGAGCGTTTTAAATGGCTTTTTGAGGCAAATAATAATAATAATAATAATAATAATAATAATAATAATAAAGTCATAACTGCCCTTCTCTCTTTCGTGGCATCTCGTGCAACCTCTCTGTGAAATCAAAACAAAAAAGAACTCTAATTTTACAACTTTGACAAATTGACAAATTAATTTATTCATCTTTTTAAAATTATGTGTTCAATTTTAAATGATGAATTTAGATTTATTTAATTTTATTTAGATTGATCCATAATTATGGTCCCAAAGATAACATGCATTTGATTTTATTCTCTCATTTTAAGCAAGTCTTCTAATTTGCAATTTTGTGTGGTTTCTATACTTTCTATTGTTTCTAAAAAAAAATAAATATGGCAAATTACAATGAATTTGTTTTGAATTATAATGATTTTTTCACTCCAAACCATAGTGTCTCAATAATTTTTTTAATTTTTTTTAAATAAATTCTTTACCAAATCTTTCAACACAATATCCTTAAACAAAAATGACCAATAAAAGCTGGAATATGAAAAAAAAAAA